TGCTCTTAGTACTTCAGCCTCTTAATATGATGAAAATATTCTAATTAATCATTGGAAGATTATTGTGACAGAGAGATGTGTCTCCTCTTCTCATCCCCAGCCAGTGACTGAGCAAGGTGGTGGTACGAGAACCTAGCCATTTTTGGGCATGCCAGACCCCTCTAACGTGCTGTCTTTGCTCTGGAGCTTCTAAGCTGGCAGAGACTTTCAGCTCTGTATGGTGGTCTGAGGCTCCCTGCCCACTCCTACTTCCTCATTTCCCTTCCACAGATGTTCCTTTCCAGTAAACCAGGGCACTCCTAACTCCACAGTGTCCATCCCCAGAGAACTCAGCCTGCAGTGACCATTTTTCATCTGTTATCAAACATACGGAACTAGCCTCTGTAATAAATTTTTCAGTGAAGGGAAGTATGAGTTAGAACCATAAGACTTAGATGTGAGTGGAGGCCATCTTTCTCTCTTTAGTCCGGAAACTTCCTCGCCCATCTCCAGACCATGATTTTTCTGGGCTCTAGAGTTGCTCATTTGGTCAGCAGCAGCCTGACTGCTGAGACCCTGGTCCTTCTTCTCAGGTCCAGAGTTGTTGATTTTCTCTTTGCTTGTGATGATTTCCTATAATCTATAGACAGCTCTCTGGGTCCTGTACTCCTGTCTGTGTCCTTATCTGCAGCTCATGGGCATACTGAGCTGTACATTCTGTTGGTAGGACAGTGCTTGCATGGGTTCTTATTAAAATATTCCATGGAGAACAGACTTAATTTTTCTTCTTCTGATTCCCTTTTACTGTAATAAAACTTAAAACATAACCTGGTTTTTACCCTTACTTCCTTCTGTATATTATTCATCTGATACACATGGTGTATATTGCAAGGTGAAAACCTACTTGATTTTTTCCGTCGAAGAGCCATTTACTTGCCTCTGCACAGTTTATAGATTGATCGATCCTGCCTGGTGTTTGATGTCTGGCTGACAAAGGTTATGGGTTCTTCAGGCAACAGATAATGTTGAGTTCACTTGGGTGCCTGGGTGGCTCAGTCGTTAAGCGTCTGCCTTCAGCTCAGGTCATGATCCCAGGGTCCTGGGATCGAGCCTTGCATTGGGCTCCCTGATTGGCAGGAAGCCTGCTTCTCCCTCTCCAACTCCCCCTGCTTGTATTCCAGCTCTCGCTATCTCTCTCTCTGTTAAATAAATAAAATCTTTAAAAAAAAAAAATGTTGAGTTCACTTGATTTAATACTGAAATCACTTTTCTTGTATTTTCATTTGCATCAGTTTTCTTACATTTTCCAGCATCTTTTAACTTTTTCTAACTAGGTGTACATGTAAATAGTCATAAGTATTCTTAATCTCCAAGACAAATGTGCAAACACCTGGCACATTGAAAATTTTTTCTTTGATCTGTGCATACTTGTCTCCAGCTCCTGCTCTTCCTTCTTCATCCTATTTTTAAAATATTTTATTTACTTATTTGAGAGAGAGAGAGAGCAGAAGCAAGGGTAAGAGCAGAGGGAGAGGGAGAAGCAGACTCCCTGCTGAGCAGGGAGCCCGATGCTGGGCTCAATCCCAGGACCCTGGGATCATGACCTGAACCGAAGACAGATGCTTAATGGACTGAGCCACCGAGGCGCCCCTTCCTTCTTCACCCTTGTTGTCTTCGGATAATTTCAACATACCGGTATCTCTAGGGTTTCATTTCATCTCCTTTTAAGCCCTCTCAGAGGGATCTTATACATACACATCTTCAGCTGCTACCTGTATTCTGTTACCATCCAAATCCTGCTTCTGCCCTCCAGGCCCATATATCTAATTGCCTAGAACATCTCCTCAAAGAAGCCTGTTGACATCTCCAATTCCAGGATGTCCAGAACCAAACTTGACATGCTTCAGTTCTGGGATTCCTTCTGGATTTGATATCTTAGATAGAAGTATTGCCATCTGCTGAGCCACTGGGGAGTCATTCTTGAGTCTTCCATTCACCACAACTACTCTGACGGCCGTCTTGACAGTTTTACCTCCTAAATATCACCATTATATGCTTCTCTTTATCTTGCTGACCTTTGTCCAGGCCACATCATTCCTCCTCTGATATGCTACCATTGCCTCTTCATTGATATCTCTGCCTCTCTTCTCAGCTATCTTAAATTCCACTCCAGCTGGAACACGTTCGGTGCCTGCACAGTGCTCCATGAGATCATGGCGTCACCTGCCTCTCCAGGCCCTTCTCATCCCCTCCTCACCTACCTGCCAGCCAAGCGGGCTCTCTTGCTGCTGCTGTTCCTTTCAGGCTGTCTTTGCCTCTTGGCCTTTACATATGCTCTTCCTTTTGTTCTGTTCTCCAGTAAGCTAATTTAATTAATTCTGTAATCTCAGCTCAAGCATCCTTTTTTCCTGGAGCCATTCCATGAAGCTTCTGCTGAGATGAGATGCTTTCCCCCTCACCTCCGCAGCTCCTCAGAGAAATTTCTGTCAGGCTTTTCTTTTTTCTCCTGAATGATATTTTCTTTATCATCTCTCTTGCCCACTAATCATGAAACCCATAGAATGAAGAACTAAGTATTTTATGAATATTTATTTTATTTCTGCATTTCAAATGCCAAGCTTGGTATCAAGTGTGTAGATATTTTTCATTAAATGGGGTTTGATGTGCATGTGACTATTGTGTTTATAGAAGTGTGTTTGAGTGTATGTCAGCATTAACATGTAGTAAAACAAGATACACCTTAGAGTTATGGGCTTATGAGATACCGAGTCAATATGTTCTGTAGGAAGTCTGAAGTGGAAATACAGGAGAGAACTCCTGTTAGTGATTGTCAGCATGTGATCAGCCACATACTGCTTTTAATATATATAATCAGAAATAGTCTTCAGTGTAGTTTGTGTAGCATTTCCATCTGTGTAGATGGGTGGTATGAAGAATTTATAAGAAAGACCATAACTAAATACATTTATATTTTATTATTTATGTTTGTCAAATCTTGAAAACTTCGTTCTTTTAAATTATACAGCTTTTATTTTTTTGTTCGGGTTTTCTTTACTAAGTTTATGGTTTAAAAAATGCCCACACATTTTAATGTATTTTAATGTAAGTATTGTTAAGTCAATGACATGTAAGGAAAGACCAGGTACATTTTATGTTAACATGAACAGAGAACCATAGCAAAGATTAGGATACTTGTAATACTCAAAAAGCATGCATAATTCTTCTATTGAGTATTTATTTGAGCACATGCTGTGTGCCAGCCATGCTCTTGGTTCTGGGGACACTTCAGAGAAAAGACAGAGGTGTTCTTGTTCTTGCGGGGCTTACACTCGGGGGGAGGGAATACTGCCTTCAAATGAGTGAACGTGAAGATCACTTCAGCTAGGGGTGAGGGTTAGGAAGATGACAGAACAGGTGGTAGAGAAAGCATTAGAGCAGTGGTGAGGTGGCGCCCAGAAAGAAAGAAGGTGCAGAAGGGCCTCTGTGGGGAGGTGGTGCTTGCAGTGAGAGGGATGGTGAGGTGGCGCCATCGGCACAAGGCCATGGGTGGAAAAGCATCTGGGCAGAGCAAGGAATCTGTGTCATTTAAAGTCACCTGCGTCTGACATTAGGAGAAGGAAGGGAAAAATGAAGGGGGGGAAATCGGAGGGGGAGACGAACCATGAGAGGGTGTGGACTCTGAGAAACAAACTGAGGGTTCTATAGGGGAAAAGGGTGGGGGGATGGGTTAGCCTGGTGACGGGTATTAAGGAGGGCACGTATTGCATGGAGCACTGGGTGTTATATACAAACAATCAGGGAGCACTACATCAAAACTAATAATGTACTGTATGGTGATTAACATAACAATAAAATTAAATTAAAAATAAATAAATCTTTAAAAAAAATAGTCACCTGCGTCTGACGGAAGTTTACCTGTCGTGCCTTTTCTCAGTAGATGTTCTTACATGTTCATTGTTGTCAAATGAGAACAAATGAAATAATACAGGTCTATGTTACTGACCCTGGGGAAAGTTAAGACAAGAAAATGAAAACAAAACAAAACCTCAGGCTGGCTCAAATGGAGGAGGCGGTTGATTAGCTGCCTGGAAATATACCAGGGGATCTGGATATACATTTTTTACCTTCATCTTTCAAAATGTTAGAATATTAGCCTAGATTAACCTAGAATGTAGATTTTTCATGGTAAAATAGTGATGTGTTATCAATATCAAGAAATATATTTTTATAAGTTTTTGGATTTCCACATTTCTTAAAAAGGTGGTTGCAGATAAGGTACAAAGAATCTTATGACCCACGAGTATACTTGCCAAAACTTATTTTAAAGTCGGAAAAAAGGAAAAAGGTCATTTGTTTTTGGTTTTTTTTTTGAAAAGCTGCTTTTATTAGCCAAATACTCTTGTATATCATATGTTCATTCCTTATTGTATCTTCCAATGTGGGGGGTGAAGGGGGCGGAATTCTGAACTGCAATCCTAAACTTATTTTTAGCTATTAATTTCAAGAAATTCTTGGCAGCAATTTCATTTTGTTATCCCACCGTATGCTCATGGTCTTATCCTCCTTGTTGTTCATCTTTCTTCCCAACTCTGGTCCTTGTCCACAGACTAATAATGATGATAATGGAAAGGGGAAGTGGAAGATGAAAAAACAGAAACCTGGGGAATCTGGCATTTGAGAATTATTCTTTTAATATAAACTTAAGCAATGACTATGATTTAATTAAGATAAAATAATCATTTTAGGGTTTTTTTTCCTCTTCTTTTTCTTGTTTTCTTTTAGGAGGAATTAAACTTGGGACAGTGATGCCTTTAAGGCGCTCAGGGAAGGAAGGTTGCTTGGGGCAAGTAAAAGACACTGTCCCTTGGGCTTAGCTTACAGGGTCAACTGCACTATTTACATTATTGGAAATAGATTTTCTTTTCTTTTCTGATACACACACACACCACACACAGTACTATCATGAAATGTGTAGTTTATTTTCTGTTGATATCTTAACAATTTTTAAATTTGTTTTATAGAAAATACTGCAGTTTCTACCTGAACGAATTTTCTTTCGATGGCATTACCAGAGTATAGGTAAGAACAATTTAAAGATTTCTAAAGTGATACAGATTTTTTCCAGTTGAATTTTCAGTAATATTTTATATAATTAGCACCATCAAGATTAGGTTATAACAAGGAATGGTAACAAGGGCATTCTGGTTAAAAGTAAGACAAGTCCAACCTGCACTTTGGAGGAAAACAGAATATAGAATATCTATCCCTACGTCATAAGTGCTCCTTAAAAAGGATGGTTCATTGACCAGCAGCATCAGCCTCACCTGAGAGCTTGTTAGAAAATGCAAAATGTCAGGCTCCAGCCAGACCTACCAAATCACAGTCTGCATTTTTAGCAAGAACTCCATGGGATGCCTGTGCACAAAATTGAGAAACATTTGATCCAGAGTATTTTTAAGTAACTTTTCATTTTTTTCTTACAAAAATATCTTGTTCTTCAAGACTTTATCATTGATGCAGAGATACTCTGTTTGAATGCTTTAGGGTGTGGCAGCAGGAGGGAACTTGAAATATAGCCAAGTTACCACCGCTGTGCTTTCTGTGCAGCTCTTGACATAGAACAGTGTTTCCTCTCAACTTAATATTCATGGCACAACTGGTGTAATTTGTGCTATTGACTATGAATCCTACTTTCTTTTTAAAGAGTGTCTGGTTTGGTCTTTCTGCCTTTGAAGACTGACAGTTCCCCATTTTTTCCTCCTTGCCAGATGATCATATTTGAGGAGAACATAACCTCATAATGGGATCTTTACTCTCTGATCATTCATTCAAATATCTACTGAGGGAGAAACAAAAGTTCTGGGGTAGAAATGAACAATATCTCTCCATGCTTGTATTATATAAGCTGATTGCCAGGGTGAGGGATAGGTGAGAAAAAAAAATAATTACAGTGTAATTGCTGCTACGAAAAGTGTAATGGTAGCAAAGAAAGTCGAACAATTCTATTCAGAGGACTTGAGGAAGGCTTCAAGAGAGGTAATCACTATCTGAGCCTTGAAATACGAGTGTGGAAAGGGTTTCCTAGATGGGAGATCGATCTGTGAAAGACATGGGACCTGAAAGAACATGGCACTTTCGGTGGATATTTCAAAATTCAGAATCCCAAATTTAATTTAGTACTATTTATGTGAAAAATATAACGACACTTATATAAACTGAACTGTTTAGTGAAATATATATAATAAATACATCTCCTGAACTGAATGATTAAATCATTACTTGAAGGTAGAAGACTTGGTCTTTAAATCTTTCAAATACACAAAGAAGGTTTTCCTTTAAATTATAGTGTTATTGATAACATTTCTGTTCATTGATACTTCAACATTGTGTATTTAAAGTAAAAATTTAAAAATCAAATGGTAAGTATAATCTGAAGTGGAATCATAGGGGTTTGTAACGCTCCATGGTGTAGCAGGAATGGATGAAAATGAGAAATAACTGCATGCAGAATTTTTTATTTGTGCTAGGTATAATCCATCCATTCTGTTTTGTCATATGTATGAAAAGGATACTCGTTTTCTACAGAGAGTACTTTAAAATGTCTGAAGATTAATAGGCCCCCCTTCAGCCTGAATAAACTTACTAGAACTGGGTGTAGAAATTCATTTGCTATTTGTGTTGTGAAACTTTATGCATCTAGGAGGTGGTGTATGGTATTACCTTAATTCTGGCTACTATTACCACATGGACTGGTTAAGATTGCAGGTACAAGTAGCTTTTTACCCAGTTTAATAGTGTCTGACCGAGAATAGTGACTCTTCGATTGGGATTGCAGAGTACTAGTCTCCTGAGCCAGCATAAGAGCAGGTGCTGTTTATCTAGTTTAGTGTGTGGAATAAGCTCGTTTATCTCGTGTATAGAATAAGCTGGCTGTATAACACGGCCAGTATGAGTCATGTTTCAGAATGTTGAAGTATGAGCATTTGCATATAAAATCATCCTTATTTTGATGCTTATATGCTTAATACTTGAATCAAACAGGCTCTTTTCAGATAAATGTATTTTTGCATGATTTATCAAACTGGGTAGAAGTTGGTGATTAGGCAGGTCCACATACCTTTTATGATGATCTTCAGGCTAAATGTATTTTGGAATCAAAATTTTTCAGATTTTAGAATGGCTGTGTGGTGTGTTGATGTTCAGCAAACATTAACACAATGTTGATGTCTATATGTAACACCCCAGGGGGCTGGACAGCACCCTGTAACCAAGAGAATTCTTATTTCTGTAGCCTAAGATATGAAATAGCCTCACATTAGTCGGGTGTTGCTACCACATGAGTTCAGATTCAGGTCAGGTCCTGTCCACCAGTAAATTCCACACAAAAAGCTTTAGTTTTCATAGATTCTTAGATTTTGAAATTTCCAATAAGGGATTGTGGATTAGCAATTCTACACATTTTCTTGACCTCACTCTCTTCCATTCTTCCCAGTTTATTTGGATTTGTTAAAACGGCCACCATATGTCACTCAAGGTCTTGACCAAGTTAGTTATAAAACCTAAGAAACTATAAGAAAACACCAGATTTTAAAGGGAAAGGAATGTGCCTTAAATATTTCCATAGCATCAGTATCTTCTTGACTTCTGCGAAACCTGTTGAGGCTAGGACAGGAAGCTTTTCACTAGTCAGTTCCAGACATTCTAGGTATCTAATATTCCTTATTTTAGATCTTTTATATTCTAGATATCTAATATTTCTTACCTAATATGAAGAACACTACTGTATAAACTTCTTAATTAAATGTTACTGTGGCTGATAGTGGCCAAGATACTCTGGAATACTGGGTTAGAACCTGGAAGCTGGGTTTACATACCACTGATTCGGTATGCTTCCTGCCCCACACTACAAATAATGTCCCTAAGTATAGAAACCTAAAATAAGAGCAATTCCTATATTCTGCAAGTCTTAAAAATTCTCAGACCTACTGGATAGCTAGGTTTTATACAGAGAAAGAAGTTAATCTGAAACATCAGCTGCCACAATGTTTGAAGTCAGTTTCTTATCCTGCCATCTTGTTTTGTCAGTAGCAAAGAGAGAGGTTCTGTTTCTCTCTATACTGTTTTTAGAGAGAGAAAATAGTCTGTAAGTTTTTCTATGCTTAAGGATTTATATAAGCCATTGAATGAGGAAGCCTGTTTGGACTCTGTTGTAATGTGAAATGAACACTGTTCATTATTCCAGGCATCTAGAGATACTGCTGCAAGTGAGGTTTAGAGAGTAAGAACATTAGGGAAGTGGCTGACAGAACACACACCAACTATGATGTCTGCCAACCTGCTACTCAACGGTTTGTAAATTCCATGACTAATTATGAATGAGAAGATTTTCCTAAAGCCAATTTTAGGCCAATACATCATGGTGGACAAGGGTGGGCACTTGAAGCCTTACCTCTGTAATAATGAAAGCTGACAGGATGTGAGGAGATGATAAAGAATGGCACATGAGTAAACCAAGGGTATTTGGTGCAGGGGCAGGCTGTGGCCCCCTTTCATGTGCCCATGCATCATCAGTACAGGATTCAAGTTATATGTGTTTGCTTTGGAAGGTTTACTGCTCATGAGTCTCAAGGAAGCAGATTTCTTGTCCCATTCAGTGTACAGTGCTACACTGTACATTTATTGCTACATTTGCAATAAATGTTTGGTGTGGGTGGAAGGATTTATTTTGTACTAGAGATGTTTTATATCAAAAATCTTCAAAATAAATAGCCCTTGGGTTTAAAGGATTGGGCTCAAATGGAAAATTCACACAGTACCTCATATATTTTTTTTTAATTTAATTTTATTATGTTATGTTAGTCACCATACAGTACATCATTAGTTTTTGATGTAATGTTCCATGATTCGTTGTTTTTGTATAGCACCGAGTGCTCCATGTAATACATGCCCTCCTTAATACCCATCACCAGGCTAACCCATTCCCCCACTCCCCTCCCCTTTAAAACCCTCAGTTTGTTTCTCAGAGTCCATAGTCTCTCATGGTTCATCTCCCCCTCTGATGTCCCCCCCTTCATTTTTCCCTTCCTTCTCCTAATGTCCTCCATGCTATTCCTTATGTTCCACAAGTAAGTGAAACCATTTGATAATTGACTTTCTCTGCTTGACTTATTTCACTTAGCATAATCTACTCCAGTCCCATCCATGTTGATAAAAAATTAGGTATTCATCCTTTTGATGGCTGAATAATATTCTAAAACCCAAGAAACAAATAATCAGGTCAAAAATTAGGCAGAAAACATGAACAGACATGAACAAACACTTCTTCAAAGAAGACATACAAATGGCTAACAGACACATGAAAAAATGTCCATCATCATTAGCCATCAGGGAAATTCAAATCAAAACCACATTGAAATACCACCTTACACCAGTTAGAATGGCAAAAATTGACAAGGCAAGAAACAACAAATGTTGGAGAGGTTGTGGAGAAAGGGGAGCCCTCTTACACTGTTGGTGAGAATGCAAGTTGGTATAGCCACTTTGGAAAACAGTGTGGAGGTTCCTCAAAAAATTAAAAATAGAGCTACCCTCTGACCCAGAGATTGCACTCCTGGGTATTTACCCCAAAGACACAGATGTAGTGAAAAGAAGGGCCATATGTACCCCAATGTTCATAGCAGCAATGTCCGCAATAGCCAAACTGGAAAGAACAGTTCAATGGCCCTTCAACAGACCAATGGATAAAGAAGATATGGTTCATATATGGTTTTTTTTTTAAGATTTTATTTATTTATTTGACAGAGAGATAGAGAGAGAGAACAAGTACGCAGAGAGGCAGGCAGAGGGAGAGGGAGAAGCAGGCTCCCCGCTGAGCAAGGAGCCCAATGCGGGGCTCGATCCCAGGACCCTGGGATCATGACCCGAGCCGAAGGCAGCCGCTTAACTGACTGAGCCACCCAGGCCCCCCCCCCTTTTTTTTTTAAGATTTTATTTATCATATGTGTTTTTTATAGGAGTCATTATTAATCTTTGCTCAACCAGGTTCTTATACGGAATATAAAAACCAATGCATAATTAAA